CGGGCAACCCCGCACTGTGGATTCGAACATTGCAGCTGCAGCGTTGAACCTCACGCACACACCCCTGCAAACACAACGGATAATGTTTTCAGGACGCTGCCTGCCAGCTCTTCCAGAAGCACACTACAGAAGACAGTTATTTGCCAAGGTGTTATTCCAGTAAACAGACTGTTTTCCTGATACCTCTCTGCCTAACCCCTTCCCCCAGCTCCCAGGCTCTCCATGTTCACAGCCAGTAGCAGGAGTGCTCGGCCTCAGCACAGGCAAGGTACCCTTAGAAAGGAGAGCACAGCTCAGCGCCTGCTCCAACAGCATCTCCTCCCTGGCCTTTGCCCTCCCTCCCGCTCTGCTCGGTGGGAAAGGCGTAAGCTGATGCTCACAGAGGCCACTGTCTCCAGGCCGGTACTCCCAGAGCACACAAAGGCTGATATCAGTTTCATGGGAGACCAAGCTGGAGCCAGCAGCTGGATCCTGCTGCAAGCAGCACCAAACCCCAAGCGGCCTGGGGCTCAGTCATTAGCAAGCAGTTTGAACAAACATCATTATAATTTGGTCTAAGCTTAACAATGAGTACAGCTGTTGACAATGAGTTGGAGAAAAGGTCCAGTTCAGAGTCTGAGGCCAGGGAGACCACTGGACCTCCCATTGATCCCAGTGTGTCACAGACATTAAATCTGGACAGCAGCTATGAAGCCAAAGGCACAGCTCCCTGCTGGCGGCCACCTCCCTGGACATGGTGCTGCTTATTCACCCACACCAGCCATCTGTGCTTCCCCCCACCACACACAACCGTGTCCCCCCAACATGCTCCTGCAGCTTGCAGCTCGTGGAGACCCTGAGGCTTGCTGTCCATCAGACAGCAGCTTGCCATGATGTCCTCATCCATCAGGAAATCCAGCACCTACAATATCCTGCAGCGAGGCGCTCCACAGATCACTGCACTCTGTTTTAAACCCACTTCTTGCCAACTTTGATGCCCCCCAGTTCTTGTACAAACATCTGCCTCACGTGGCTTGTGGCTTCATGGACCACATCATAACTCCCTTGGCCAGGCACCCCCCCAGACTGGAGGGTCCCAGTCAAACAGGCTTGTCCCATACAGAAGCCACTGCCCTTCTCTAAACCTATTCCATTTTTTTTTCCAGCAGACCATGTCAATATGCCATAAATTTCAGCCATACATAGTCATCAGTCCCACTCTTCTCTTTCCTCCTAGCTCCGCATCTTTGTTTAGTCACACAGAAACTTACCAACTTCTCCCACTGCTGCTTAGTCCTCCTACAAGCCACTAACCTTACCAAATGCACCTGCAGACCAAGCTCCTGAATTTTCAGGCAGCAAGTTCCCAAGTGCCTCTACGGCACATGGAAGATGCTGCATGAGGACAGGACAGCCCAGGGGCCCTTTGCAGCTTGTGCTCATCTTCCCACCCGTGGTCACAGCTTCTGCCTTCAGGCTGGGCTGGATAGTGAGAGAGAAACCCTGAGAACTCAGCAGGGGACAAGGAGGCCACGTTCTGAGATGATGCTACTCCCCAAGAAGTGAGCCAGCTGTTTGTACAGCCAGGAAACCCTGCTGCCTCCAATTTGTCAAATACCATCTTCAGTCAAGTTGTGCTAAATACCCTCACTCCGCATGAGGCACAATACCTTCAGCCAGGTCTCAGAGCCTCCCCTGATCTAATGGACTCCACTCTTCTGTCCAAGTTGGTAAAGAGGAGCCACAAAGTTGCTTCTCCATCATATCTCATTTTCCCTCTGCTCCTTCTCTTCTCCCATAGGGTCATCCTGCTGCAGCACAGTCAGCAAAACCAATGGAGTCAAACACCAAACAGCAGTTTTCAAAGCACTGACATCTCTCCCTTGGCCTACCAGTTGATGAGGACAACCGCTTGCTAAATTAATTCTTTCTGAAACAAGGATGGGGGCCAAGAATTCCATGGGAAGGTCCCAGCTGCCCTTCTGTCACCTCAACTCCTCCTCCTCTTGCCTGCACCACCAGAAAGGTGATAAAAGCTTGCTGGGTCCTCTGAAGTTATACAACTGAAATGACAAGTGATTACAGTGATTGAAGCCAGGTGGGAATGTTCCCTCTGGATGGGCTTACTGAAAAGGAAAATGAAAAGGTCTGCATCCTTGTCCTCCTTCCTCCTTGCCTTGCTCCACAAGTCTCGAGATCATTTCATGCTGGCATTGTCCTCATCCTGGCAGGTCCTCCTACACCTGAACCTGCTCATCCTCTCTCTGTGTAACCTTCTCATCACTTCTCCCTTGCAGAACCATTGTGATGGATCAAGCCCTGCTCCAGCTTCCCAGGCCTGGCCACAGCACATTAAAACAGGATTTATGAGCCTTGAGCACAGACAAGAGTTATGCAGTCTGCACTTCTGTGTGCTGCATACCAAGTCCCCAGCTGGTTTAAATCAGATTAACTCCACTGATATAAGACATTTAAGGCAAGAGTGTTCCATGATTTACACCAGCTAAGAAGCTGTTATATTATAACTTGGCAACTGCAGGTTTTAGATCTGGAAGTTTTTTGGGCAAGGATCCCAAGCAACAGTGAACGACAGAGCAGCTGAGTGGCAAACCCCATTTATCCTCAGTGCAATATGCATGCAGCAACCACGTGTTCCACAAAAGTCCTTAAAAAAAAAAGTAACCCTCATGTTCAGTTTTCAGTGCCATTGGCCCACAAACATGCCCTGTCACAACCCAAAGGCTCCAAACAAATCACTAAGTCATGATAGTATGGAAATGCTTCCCTTCAAAAAATGATATATTTGGAAAACTAAAGCCAGGCAACTTTAATGCAAAGGCTGCTGGCTGCTGAAAAAAAACCACGGACTGATTAATGCAAATGCAAACAAACACACAAGAGAGTTTAGTATTCAGATCAGGGCCTTCATTTCTGCTGGAGGATGCTCAAGCTTCCAATCAAATCTGTCCTCCACAAAAAAACAGTGCTAATGCTATGGAGCCAGATGTGCTTGGAGAGGTGCAGAAAAAGACACACCATTCAGGGCAGGAGAAATGCACCAAGGAAAATGTAGATACTGCCTCAAAAGGAAGGCTTGGTCCTTTCTTCTCCAACTTAGCAAAGTGGCTTCTCCAGACCAGTAGATACTGGCTTGTCAGAGCCAGGAGAGCAGCAGGAGCCCAGTGCCATTCCCACACCACCCACAAGACTGTGAGTGGGCAGCAGAGCTGCAGCCTTCCCTGCTGCCTCCAACCCACTGCTGGCTGCACATGGAAAGGGCCAGGCCAGACCCATAAATCACCAGGCACCCAGCACAGTAAATCTGACCTCCCTTGCAAGGGAAATATAAATCAGCTTTACTAGCAGCTTCTGAAACAAAAACTAAGATCATGAAACTGTAAAAATGCCTCTTTAAACATCCTGTGCCCTGAACAGACCACTGAAAGCCCAGTCAGGATGAGGGAGAGCAAATAGAGTCGGGTTGATGAACTGAGAAAAGGCATTTCAGACCGAGCAGCTTCTTGCTGGCAGGCAGCACGACATGGATATCTTTAGCACACAGTAAAGACAGAGCAGGGAATCGGGAGGAGTGAATTAGCCAGCGTTAATACCATCATTTGTATGCAGTGTACTTCAAAGCCCTGGCAGTGCAGACAGCACCAGACACACAAAAAACCACCCAAGTCTGATGGAGAGTGAAGTACAGCACATTTGCTGGAGCCCACAGAGTAATGATCAGCGGGGGATGGATGGGACCCTCAGGGTCACCACTGCCCCACTGTTTAATGAGCTAGTGTGGGATGGCCGTGCCAGGAGGACAGGGGCAAGTCCACAAAGGACAGAGGAAGCCTCATGAAGCAGTGTAGAGGTAGGAGCTACTGGGTAGAACCAAACTGGGCAGGACTCAGCGAGAGCACAGGGGAGTTATATCTGCTCACATCTCAGCAAGAGTGCACCTTAAACCCATGGTAGGAAGTCTGCAGGGAATATTATGGCTGGGCAGAGGCTCCAGATGCCAAGGAAGCTGCTGGTGTCAGCAGTGCTAGCCATGGGAACAGCAATTTCAGCAACACACACGTGGAAATTGGCCATCACCACAGGACACCCAGAAACAACTTCGAGAGGCTGGTCACCTCCTCCTGGGGCAGGTGTACAGCCAGGCAGGATCCCGAGGTCCTTGCCACCACTGCCACGGCCCAGGCAGGACATGTGGCCAGCCCAGAAGGGGATGCTGCCATCACTGGTGTGTCAGGCCAGTGAGGCAGCCAACAAGGAGAGCCCAGGGACCAGCACTGGGAATGGACCAGCACTGGGAATGGACCAGCAGGGCTGGGGGAGTTCCACTGGAGGGGTTTGGAGCCCCGGGATGCAACATCCTCCTTGTGTAACCAGTCAAAGGCAAGACAGCATGTTGGTCCCAGGAAAGCCAACCGTGCGCAGCCAGGGAAGCAAAACATGGCATCAGCTGAGCCAAGCCCCTTCTGCCAGCTGCCTTGTTTTCCTGCAGATTTATTGTTCCCACAGTCAATAACAGCAGAGCAAAGGCACAATAAGGAAACTGAAGTGATCAGTGGCTGCTAATCAGCAAAGCTTTCCAAGAGCTCCCCAAAGCCCAGAGGAAAGGCTCAATAGCCGCCCTGTGCTGATGCTCTGGAGCGCGCAGCCGCACCACGGGCACACAGCACCTCTTCCTGCTGGCACCCCAAGGGTGAGGGGGGCTGTAAACACACACAGGGCAGACACACTTGCTCCTGTCTCACCTCTCCTACCCTCTCAGGGCATGAGGGCATGGCCAGCTGCCATACGGCACAGAGAACCTCCTGTCACTCACCCCAGTGGAGACCTGGATGTGGGCGGTCTTGGACTGATGGGTCCATCGCTCTGCAGGAAGGAGCAGAATCCCAGAAGCCCATCCCAGAAGTTTATTGACTTTCCTTGCATTTCAAATAGTATTGGATAACATCTCTGTGCAGAAGAAAAAGAGAGCCTGTGTTGCTGGAGGCGGCTCAGCAGAGCCTTACCTTTGGGCATGATGCGATGCATTGCAACCGACAAGAAGAAGATGGAGTCGCTGTAGTAGGTCCCTGATCCAGCGCTGAAGTGTTTCTGCATGGCTTCAACGATGGGAAACAGCTTTTCTGTCAGCTCATTCACATCATGGACTATTACCTGGGAGAGACACCAGAAACACCACTCAGCTGCTGCCTCTGGGGACTGGCCCAGCTCCAGCAGCCTTTGCTCAGCCCACACCGGCACGGGGCAAGGGGGTAGGTTGTTAAAGCACAAATCATGCTGGTGGCATTGCAGCTGCACAAAGGGGCCTGGCTGCACCGGCCCCTCTACATCCCCTTGCCACAGGAGCCAGTCACGTGTGGCAGGGGAAGGAGGGAAGGACTCTTACAGCCATTTCATAACTGTAAGATGGGCAGAGACTCGAATCCACTCACACAGCCATGTGTGTTCCATGTTTTGTGGTTTTTTCCTAGTCTGTTCCCACTGCCTGATGCAACCACATATCTGGTGTCCCATATGGAGTCCATCAGAAGAGGTGACAGTTTCCTCCAGGCTCTGGCATCATGACGTTTAGAGGTCAGACCACGTCACTTACCCTGAGGACCAAGGCTTGCTCCCTGCTACGGAGGCAGGCTGTGACAGGGCCAGGATGCAGCCCAGATTTCCTGAACCTCAGCCCAGCATGGAGGCAATCTCTGCAGCACATCCCACCAGGGCTGCAGGGGAGAAGGGAGGACAGGCTGCAGCACGCCAATGAAAATCCAAACATCAGGAGTTACAGCAGAGCTGAGCAACTGCTCTACATGGATCTCAGCCCACCTGTGCTGGAGCTTTGCTGGTGCTCAGCCAGCACTGCTCTGCACCCCTCAGTCCTGCGGGAGCCCATGCACCAGCACGGGCCCTGACACGCCTGCGCCGGATCGTGGCTATGGCCCAGAAACAGGAGCAACCCCAAATGCACCTTGTCAGCTACTGAAACTGTACAAGCTTAGAATTTTTTTTGGTTAAAGTCTGATGAACAGGAACTTTCATGCAGCTCGTTACACCCACAGAAAGATACAGGTCACTGAATCACACAAGATAATGAGAGGGATTTTTGGGATAATTAAGAGAGATGAGGGACATGACCCCGGTGCAGATAAGGGGGAGTGCAGGAAGTGTGGAGACTCGAGGTTGTGCTGCCTTCTTCAGGCCAGGGAAAACAGGAAGAGCCTCACTGGAACTGAAGGCCAGCAAGAACATAACTTTGCAGCAATACTCGAATTTTGGACAGGGTAGCCTATACCTCTTGTTTGAGGGATACCAGGACACTTCCCCAAGCTGGCCCTGCCTGCAGCAGGGAGCTCAGCCTACAATCTTTGTACATCCCTTCCAAACTAAACCATTCCAACGGCTCTACAGTTTCAATTATTTTCCTTACTAAAATTTCATCTGCTTAAGAACAAGGGGAACACGCGGGAGAGAGAACTTAATTTTTATTTTTTTTTTAAATGAAAAATACCCATAAACCAAACCAAGTGCTTCAGAGGAGAAGGCAACTCTGGAGCCTGTGCTGGTGCAATGACCATCCCCTCTATGGGGTTCACAAGGCTTTGCTTTGATGCCCAGTGAGGCTGGTACAGAAGCAGCGAGCAATGTGGAGTTTCCTCCTTCCACAGCTTCTTGCAGAACACATTACCCCAAAGTGCTCTCACAGCAGAGCAGAGCAGAGCTCGCTGGGGTGCTGCTCGTGGGACCCGCAGTACAGTGAACAAGGTGATGGGGCCATCCTGGCACTGGCCATGACAGCTGAGCCCACAGCAGGGTCCTGCTGGAGGACAGGCACAGTTGAGTCCCCAGCCCTGGGAAGGGTACCCTAAACACCCACCCTTGGCCACTGGCCCTTGCCATCAGCAAGAGAGCCCTCACACAGGCTCTGTGGCCAGCGTGTCCCTCAGCAGGGCGGCCCCGCTCTGGGCCCGGGGCCAAGCGCCTGCAGCAGAACGGCAGGAAAAACACAGAACAACGTGTACCAGGAAAAGTGCATTGGGAGAGCTCACCAGCAGCTACACTTGGCTTTGGATAGCACGGCATATTCCCCAAGACACTGCAGGAGAGGAAGCTCTGTTCCCAGTAACATTACACAGCACCTCACCCAGCCCTGCTGGCTGTGCCATCGCGGTGAGTGCTGGTCGGAGAGTGGCACAGCTGTGGGGAGCAGAACAGCAGCACCAAGTGCTGCTGCCAGCAGCCATCCCAGGTGACCAAGCAAGCAAACCACCATTACTCTTCACGTGCAAAGGCACCGACAGCCTGTGCATGGAGCAGAGCACCACCAGCACCACCCCACCGTGGGGATGTGCAACGCTCTGCTCCCAGCCCAGCTTGAGTGGGGCAGCTTCAGGGTCTGGCTGGATTGGAGAAGCATGAAGGAGAAATACAGCACCTGTAACCACCCTTCTGCATCCAGCAAAGGCAGCCTGAAGTCTGTATAGCATGTAGGAAAGGTGGGGGGGAAGGAAAGCCAAACCAATTCCAGTCACCTCCAAAGAAAGCAGAGTGCCAAGCATCACTGTACAAAAATTACGGGAGAAATACTCTGGAAACTCCAGACACAGCATCATCTGCCTTCCCTCCCCTGCCAAGGACAACAGGAAAACCTGTCTTTTGCCCACCCTCTGGTTAGGTACTTCTGCAAAGCAAACTCCTCAAAGCAGCTGAATTGTCCTCCCGTAGCCACAGGTCAGGCAGCCTCTCTGGGACCACAAGGGCTTCTCCTCTCCTCACTGCTCACTTTAGCACAGCTAGTTGATCTGCTGCTAATTTTGTACTTCGTTATTTATTTGTGTAACAGCTTTTAGTAAATCCCTGTAGCTAAATCTGGAAACGTTTGCTGAGGACACTAAGAAAAGTTCTAGGGGTTTCCTGTGTAAGCACAATTTTATAAACACAAGTCCTGCACTGATAAAAGACCCTTTCTACTGATTCACTAGGAAAAAAACAACCTGCATTTCTTTTCCTTCTAACTTTCCCTCCTTCCCATGTCAGATATTCTCATAGCTCTCCACAAACACGGAGTGATGGCAGCCGAGTTACATTCACTCCCAGCAGGATCCGAACAGGGGACCGGGACAAGCAGCGAGCCGAGCACACGGTTCGTGTTACTCTGGCAGGGAAACGGAATCAATAAGCGATAGGAACCGCACAAGGAGTGTGAGCACACAGGCCGGAGTGGCAGAACACGGGGCGAGCCAGGGCTCTCTGTAAGCACAGTGCCGACGCCGAGGCTGGCCCGGGATCACTGCCGGGCACTTCCCGCTGGCCGGGAAGCGGGAGAAGCTGCGGAGATCACCCTGTGACCCTCGGGCGGGCCACGCTCTCTGGGACTGCGGACATAAAGCCCTGGTAAAAACCCACAGAGCCTCGGCAAGCCGGGGCCGGGAGGCCGAGGCACGGGCAGGACGGCGCTTCCCGGCCCTTCCCCTCGCCCCGCGGTCGCACACGCGGAGCTCGGGCTCCCTCTGCCGCCGCCGCACGGCTGCGCTCCCGGCGCCACATCTGGGACACATCTGTACATCCCTGCGGGATGGGTGACACCACGTCACGCCCGCCCACGCCCGGACAGCCCTGCCCTGCCGGGAGGATCCTAACCCTGAGCTGCTCCCACCGCCGTCACCCTCCACGCTGATCCCAGACTGCTGCCGGCTGCTTCGGTCTCCAGGAGACTCCAAAAGTTCCTGAATCTGCCTAGGGAGAGACAAGAGCTGCCCACAACCTTCCCCACGGGTTAGGAACCTTCCCCGTGGGTTGGGATCCATGTCTGACTCTGGGCTTCAGTTTAACAGAGGAGCCAACTGATCCCAGCTCCACTAGAATGGGAGGGCAAGGGAAGCCCCAAAAGCAGGGCACGAATTGCTTCCTCATGAAGAATAAAAGTAAAGTTCAGAGGTTTTATCAGTCCTGCCTTAGCAGTTCCAGTTGTCCCCTGAGCACATTATCAGGCTTCATCTCTGGGCCTGATCTAGGAAAACAGCGTAAGAACCAGGAGAATGTTCTGGAGATAACAGGAGAAGCAGGGATGGAGATGTTTTACTGCTGGAGCTGAGTGTCAGGATCAATCACCTTCAACATTTTAGCAGCAGCACCAAAGGTCCAAGCCAGGGAGATGTTTTCTGCTGGTAAAGAGGAGGAATTAAGTAGGCTACAGCAAGATTAAAGCAGTGCTGTCACCTGCTGGCATTCCAGAAACTGGCACAGGGATTAGGGGCAAGGCTGTATGCTTTAGAAGCAGGAACAGTCTCTGCTCTGTACTGGGAACTCCACCTAAAAGCAGAGAAGTGTACTGTCACTGGCTAGCCAATGGAAACCAGGATACATCAGGCTCTGCCAGGAGAGAGGGAAGAAGCTGACCGAGTAGATCTCAGTGAGATCTCACCCGAGTCCTCCAGATCATGCTGCCTGCTTACACCCCAGAGATCAGTTCTGATGCACAACCTACTCACTGAGCCATGAGCCAGGTTTGCCTGTGAGTCCACAGGCACGTACAGAGGCCCCTCTGTAACACACACATCACTGCATAGCCTCATCTCCAACTCCCAGCCCGTGTTGCCCTGGAGAAGCAAGACCAGCAAGGCTGCCCGCAGAGAAGTTTATTTCCTAGAAGAGCAGATGGCATAAGGCAGCCACACACACAGAAGGGGTGATGGCAAGGGTGATGGCAAGGGTGATGCACACCATGGTGGCCCCAGGGGTCCTCCTGCTCCAGGGGCCATAATATCACAAACCTGAGCTGGGCTGTTGCACCACATCAGCACTGCAGCATCGTGGGGCAGTCAGTCCATCCTGCTGTGGCACACAGGAATCCTCCTGAGGTACTGTGCACCCCCTCCACACAGCTGAGCACTGCCAGCATGGGGTGGGTCACCCACCACAGGTATGCGACCTGAGTGTCAGCAACAGGACAGGGCTTGTTTAAACAAAACAAGAGGTGGGATTATTTACTAGGAAAGTGCCTCTGAACAACGTTAAGGTTACGTGTCTGCTTACATCACAGCAGAGTTCAGCTAATACTAAATAACAGAAAGATGAGCTATAAAAAGTCACAGCAGGACTAGAGGACACTTCCAAGCAACGCTCTCTGCAGCAGCACCTCAGGTCAGGGGGGTTAAGTTACCTGGAGTCTCTGATCTTAACACCCTGACAGTTTTCAGATACCTGTTTGATGCGAAGGAAAGTCTGACTTTGCATGGACTGCACTGGCTACGTTTTTGGGAGGCAGGATGAACACTCATGTGGATGCACTCCTACCCCTGCAGGCTCTCCGTTCCCGTTCTCAAGAGCCACCAGCAACAAGCCAACAGCCTCTTCCGATCCTGCAGGTCCTGCAGGACACTCAGGAAGCCACTGACTCAGGAGCACACGTGGTACTTGTGTTGAAATGCTGAACCAGGACGGAACCAGGAGTTTCTTCCCGCTGGACTGCTGTTCCCAGTGTCCCGCAGGAAGATCACAAAGATCACACGGGACACCCGAGCGCGCCCCCGGAGCGCCCCCCGCAGCGGGCAGAGCCCCGCTCGCCCCCGGCCCGCCCCGCTCAGCCCCCGCGCACCTGGTGGCGGAAGGCGGCTCCGCGCAGCAGGTCCCGCAGCAGCCCCAGGCCGATGTCCCGGCTGGCGCCGTCGGTGACGAGGTGGAGGTGCAGCGTGTCGGCGGGGCCCAGCCGGCCGTGCCGCAGCAGCGATCGCAGCGCCGCCTGCGCCTTGTCCCGGAGCGCGGGGCCGCGCTCCGCCTTGGTGAACATGAGCAGGAGGTGCAGCCCGCGGGCCCCGGCGCGGGCGGGCGCGGACGGCGTGGCCCGCAGGCGGCGGGTGGCGCTGGAGAAGGTCTCGCCGCCGCCGCCCAGGTAGTAGAAGGCGCAGACGGCCACGGCCGCGGCCGCCGCCAGGGCCGCGGGCTGCGGGCACCGCGCCCAGCCCCGCCGCG